AGAGAGAGAGAGAGAGAGAGAGAGAGAGAGAGAGAGAGAGAGAGAGAGAGAGAGAGAGAGCTGGTGGCAGCCCACCTGAACGGACGCCTGGTCGCTCCCACTGCCTGCTCGAGCTGCCTCCTGCTGCCTGCTGCTGCATCCTGCTGCCTCCTGTTTCCTCCTCGAGCTATGGCTGAAGGTGCTGCCGAAGGGCTGGTCCGACGACGACAACGAAGAACAGGCCGCCGCCGAAGGAGAGCAACAACAACGGGTGGGCAGGCCGACTACTGGGGTGCCCAACTGAGGCGTGGGGTTGGCCTGAACCCCGTTGGGGAGGTCTGAGTAGTTCGAAAACGAACTACTCAGATCTCCCCCCAAAGTTTTTTACGGGCCCGCGCGCGGCCCGAAAAAATTTTTGCGCGCCCAAACGACCATTTTCCCCCGGCAGCCCCCCGGGCCTAATTCCCCCCCCCCCCAAAAAAAAATAAATTTCCGCGACCCCTCATTTTCCCTGTGCGCGCGCCAGCTGCGCGGTGCGCTGTGCGCCGCACCTGCCGTGACGCCGCGCACGACATGCGCCGCAAGTATGTCGTATATCTTACCTCATTTCTCCTCATTTATTTTTATCTTAAAATTAATAAGGAATTTCGAGGGGACTCTCAGCCAAAAGTTGCTTGTACAGTTGTACTGCAATTTACACAAGATATTTTTTTCCCAGATTTTTTTTTTTTTTTTTTTTTTTCTAATATTATGCGCTGGGGCTGTCCGGGACCCTGCCCGGGCCACCCGGGAGGGTACCCGGACGACTTTCGCCCAGCCAGTCCGCCTGGGGATCAGTTGTTGTATGACCATAATAGCCCGCCCCCTGAAGGTAGTAACTATACTACCTCAGGAGGCTTTACTGTAAATGTCTTACAGTTAGCTTTCCATGGTCGCCACCTACTTATGCATCATGCGTTGCCAGGCAATGACCTCAATGACCACCCTCATATTTCTGCCTGTATTTTGCACAGACCCGGGCATTATATGGCACTCATTCGTGCAGCTGCCCAGTGGGAACTGTGGGACGGTGGGACGATGATTCGGGCTATTTCCACCGTAAACGAGTTTTTGGGTGCATTGCCGAATCATACTTTATTCTGGATTATTGACCGACTCTCGTGTGACACCTGTCGGGGCAGAGACGCGGTGCGTCTTGGTTGTGGCATTCATCATCTATGCCATCACCATTATCAATCTATTGCGACTACCTCTGTCTGTGCTGAAGGGTGTCCAACATTTCCTCATTGTACACATCCCTATCACCCAGATACACGTTGTCCCTTTTGTGCCCAAGGACGCTATCAGAACTCCTGCTGTTCTTTTGACATGTGGACAACATGTCCTCTGTGAGGACTGTTTTGATGGAATGGTTCGTGCTAGCCGTCCTGCTGAATGCTGTGCTGGCGCAACTCTCCTTGGGTATCCTTGTGAACATCCACATCATCCTCACCGTAGCTGTCCTATCTGCCGAGGTGGGAACAGTTAAAGAAAAAAACAAAAAAACTTTAAAAAAGAGAAAAAAAGAAAATAAGAAAATAAGGAAAAAGAAAAAATATGTTGATCTGTGGGATGTGTTATTTGCTTTGTGACAATTGGATTATC